GGTGTGCGGTATGTGGTGCCGCAAGCATACCACATGTTCCATTGTTCTCTGGGCTGCAAGGGAGCAGCATGGAGGGTGTTTTTGACCCCTGGATATCCAGGAGTCAAAAAAAACCCCATGAAAAATAAAGTGGAGTGGCACACGCAGTGGCAGCGTGTGCTGCCATCTGGCCGCCCCAGAACCACACTCTGCTGCCAGCCAAGCTCCATACGGCAGGATCGCTGGTGTTGCAGCCACAGGAGGTCACCAGGACCTCAGGTAAGGCTGTTGGGGCCAAGTCAGTACTGGCTCCAGCCTCTTCTACCCCACCTGGAGTAACTTGCCACATGCTAGAGCGCGCATGGCACAGGCATTCCCTGGGTACAACTAGTGGCTGCACAAGATTCACCACCTCTAGTTGTCCCCAGGGAATCAAATGACCACTCACATCTGGACGGCAGCCTTAGAGGCAGTCCTTGCTACACTGCCCTCTTAAAAGAGACCTACAACTATTTTTTTAAATGGGATTCTTTTTTTTTGCCTTTAAAAACCTGAATTTTACTTAATTTCTTTCTTTTTTTTTTCTTTTTTCTTAGAAATATCAAGAATGTGAAATTTATTTTTTCTTGGAGGACTCAGAGACATGCTTACTGTTCTTTTCTCATGCCACTATTGATACAAGTTGGCTCTTTTGAAATGTGCACCCTTTTCCAAAATTAAAATGTTAATCAGGGATTGAAATGAAATGCCTGTTAATAAATCAAAACAAATATGAAATGTCTTAAACAAACTATGAACATTTCTTTCCCTGTCACTTGTTTAGCATTAAGTCTCCAAACTCATGCAATGTTGCCATTTCATTAATTCTCCAGTCACCCTAGGTCTTGGGTTTATGTATCAGAGAGTGGGTTGTTGTTTTTTTTTTTTTAACTCTGTCTAGGGTGGAAAGCTAACAAGTGCATCCTGGATTATCTGTACTCTCATGTTCAAAGTATGTTAACTAGCTCTGGTTAATTGGCAGTTAATTAACTTGAGTTAAACTGTAGTGTGCACCACACATGCTTTTTTAAGTGCAAATTTTTGCCTGTATAGTTTAAACTGATTTCCTTAAGTTTAGTGGAAACCCCTTAATACACACTCTTCAATTGGAGTGGCTTGTTACAATGCAGTTTTAGCAGTGACAAGCCTGATTTAGCCAGTGTTCTTCAGCCTTCTGCACTTGTTTAACGAAATGGGTTTAATAGCACTGCTTCAGTTAAACCAGCACAATTTAAATTGTAGACCAGGGGTTTTCAGTCTCTTGGCTGGTGTACCCCGGCGGTTGGTCGATGAGTGCTGGAGGGGGCGGGGCGGGGGAGGTAGGGAGTGCCAGCAGCTTTTCCACGGCACTGCTGCATGCCCCCTGGGGCCTTCCAAAATACTCCCGGGGTATGCATACCCCCAGTTGACAACCCCTGTTGTAGACCATTCCACAGTCTAGGGTAGTCATTAAATACTACTATTATATAAGAATAATAAATAAATCAGATATTAATATAAGAAGCAAGCAGGAAAAAGCCAACACCCTTAATTTAAAAATATTTCAGCCTTCCTTATACATAGTAATAATAAATAAAAACAAAAGCTTTAAATGGCCTATGTCCTTTTTTTTTCTGTTTTGCAGGTCACCTTTAATAAATCTCTATGAAATGTTGGGGGAGAATACCAGCCTCTCTGTGATACTGCAGAGTTGCTGGATTAGTGTAGTGAGAATTAGTGTGATTCTCCTATATTATTGGAAGCTGCTAGTCTAATTTCCCTAGGCTGGAAATGTACTCCCCAAACAGTCTGAGCTGTCAGAGGGATATAGTTTAACCCTTGTTCATAATTTGAAATTGGAAGAGAATTAAAAAGTGTGCCGTTGCAACTGGAGATGGTACATTCATGGAATGAGGGCAGAGAGAGTGCCTGCTTAGAGTTAGGTAGGGTATACAGCTCTGTTCTCAACTGAGTTAACCTTTCCTTCCCTTTCTAAGCAGATCCATTCTCTGCTACTGAATTAAAATGTGGTTATTATCACATTTATGTATTTCATTATTGCATTATTTTATTGCATGACAGCTAGTATGTGATATGCTTTTTGTTTTGTTTAGTTAGCACCCTGAACAGAATCTTTTTTTAATCCATACTAAGCTTGCTTTCTTTGCATCCTCTCGTGTCATTAATGTGTGTAGTGACCATGCAACTTCACATTTATTTCTAGTTTTCCTGAACGGTACATATACTTCAACATACACTTCAACCCTGTATTCCAGGTTGGATTGTTCTGCCACTGTGTTTCTGTTTTCCCCATAATATTTGATTTCTTGAAGCCAAGCAGCTATTAAACTATGAAACTGGGCTCCTTAGTGGTTGCCGTAACTTTTGCTTTCCTGCCATTGTTTATATATCATTAATAATAATGACGATACCAAACATTGTGATCCTTGGAACCAAGTCATAGAATGAGCTGATGCAGCATACAGAGCCAGTAATTCTTGGATTCCTATTGCAGACTAGTGTGGAGGGAACAAAAAGGGAAACATACTTGTCAGGCAGAATTGTCCCAGGTTATTGCTTCTTTGTCCAAATGGAACAATTCTTTTTTCCCGTCCCTTGCCCTCCTCCCCCTTTTCCCAATTGCTTCTTGCCTTCTTTAAGTGCTTGCTTATAGTATGCTTTAATGCTCCTGTCCTGAGGAAAAAGTCCCACTATTCATTCGAAGTAAATTGTGTTGATTCTCATGCCTTGAGAATGACTTTTGAACCTTGGCTCTGCTGATCCTTATTCTACAGAAGTGGGAAGGTCCGGGTATATACTAAACCAGTAGGTAGGCAAACTGTTGAGTGTGGTTTCTCTGGTTATTCTCTCTGTCATCTTATAAGTCTGTATATGTACCTGTCTATATATAGGGAAAGAACCCTAGCAATATGTGCCGGCTGTACCCCTGCTGATGTCCAGTGCACTAGCTGGCAGTAGAGGGGATCTGTTTTCTAAAAAAAAGCATTGGTCCTAGGGTAGCCTCTTGTCACCAGGGACCGCTGCTTCCAACCCAGCCCCTTGTTGGATGCTGCAAATCTCCACATCCTCAGCAGCAGGCAGATGCTGTTGAGGGAATAGATGGAATGAGGAAGGCTGTAGGACTCTAGGGACACCTCCTCCGCAGTGCTGGCAGCAGTGTGCTGTGGATTCCCCAAGATGTTCAAGCCCGATTCAGTCTCTTTGTGGGCTGCAACTGGCCCTGTGGTCACTTAGGGAGAGGAGGTAGAATCATCCATGCTTTATTCAGCCTAGCGAATATCTGAGAGGACCATCCATGCCTGTTGGTGGATCTAGAGTTTTGAAAAGGAGGTGCAATGACATAATTGCATATAAAACAACATACATTTTCTCCAGTTAAAAATAAACTAGAAGATATACTATTATGCTAGGGGCCTAGGGCTGTATTATTCAGTTCAAGACTGAAGTAAAAACAAATATAACTTCATTGGAATGAGTTAAAAAACAATCTTCAGGACTGTGAAATAGGAGCTTCATTACCAGGAGCAGCTAATGGACTGCAGAATTGCAGGAGAAAGGATAGCTTGTTGCGCGGAACATTAAGACCATTAAAAAGAGAGGGTCATTAGCACCTGTGGAATGAAGCGTTTAGTAGGGATCAGGTAGATTATAATGAGCCATGGAGTCAAGTGACTCCCTCAGGACTGGCTGACTAGAAATTCTGCTGCCAGTGCCAAGTAGCTGCTTTGAAACTTTGGGTGGACCAGGACTGGAGAGTGCGAGTACACCAGTACACTCCCCAGATCCACCCCAGTCCATGCCTACTAAAAAGCTGTGTGTGCATGGGAAGGAAGGGGAGAGAAGAGGTTTGAGTAGGAGCTAAGGAGAGGAACAGGTCTGTGGGTGGACCCAAGGCCAGTGGAAGTGGGCAGTAGCATCCGCTTATCTACTGCCACTGCTCTGTATGTAGCCTTCAGCTACAAGCGCTTTCCCTAGCCAAAGGTCTTGATCTGCTGGCAAGAAGGGAAAACTCGGTGGAGTTTTCCCTGCTTATCCCCCTTTTCCTTGTGTTGGGAATGAGTGTATTAGGGTATAAGAGATTAATTGCTTTATCCCTCGCTTTCGACTTCTATGGAGTTGTTGTTTGTTTTTGTTCATCTGAAAAGCCTTTGTGTGCATAACTGACTGCACAGCCTGCTCTTTAAGGCATCTGGGATTGAGTGGAAGACTCCTCTTAAAGTAGCAGCTCTGACATTTGAGATAAAGGAGGATAGGATGCCCATTAACTGTCATTACTATCAACAGTATCCACACAGGAAGGACTTCCTATGCAGAAGGGTAAACTTTAATTTTAATCTTGAGTTATTCCTTCAGTTTTAAGTTGTTGCCTGCCATCCACACCGAACAGTGCATTTCAAAGTGTTTATGCTTGTGTGCATGAGTCCTTTGAGAAGGCCCACAGTTTGAAAGTTGAGAGAGAGAAGGACAGTATGGGAACTAGGCACTGCATGGGAAATCGAGATCCTAGTTCTCTTCTGTTCTTCACATGAGCTTCAACAGGCCCCTTAACCTTGTAACCTCTTTGTGGCTCAGTTTTCTCTGTCTCAGCATTAGCCCTTTGAGATACGCGAGTGGAAAGCACTGTGAACCCTAAATGTCATTACTTCCAGCAGGATTACTCTTTTGACATTTTTCTGAGGCACAAAGTGGCTTATCTGTGGTCCCTTCAATCCAAATTCAGCAAAACACGCAATCTCCTCCTTTAAATCAGCAGTGTTGAGCAAAGGACTTGGGTACTTGAGCACTCAACTTGAGACCAAGTCTGAAGTACTTTTGCTGGATCCCTTTTGTGAAACCATTATTGAACACATGCAATAGCGTGACCTGCCTCCCCTTCCTTGTTCACTCTCAATGGTTTTATCACTAAATTAGATTACAATTTATACTGGTAGTGCAGAGGGGTATTAAGTAATGTTAACAAGTCATCTCTTCATAATGCTCAGGTTCTCCAGCCCTGCCCAGCAACATGGTATATTTTGGAAGCTCTCAGGATGAGGAGGAAGAAGAAGAAGAAGATGAGGAGTCAGAGGACACAAAGGCAGCCACCAATAATGCTTCATCTTCATGCCATTCAACCCCCAGGAAAGGAAAAACGCATAAGCAGATTCTAAATGGGCATGGTAAGTCCCAAATCTTATTGGGAAAGTTGCCTGATAAAAAAGGATAAAAACTGAGCTCTGGGAGAAAACTGGTACTGCTTATCATATGAAATTGGTCTGGAATGGAACGGCAGTCTTCCATTTCTTCTTCCAGTCTCTGTCTAGAGTCTGCTTTCTATCTGCCCATGGGAGAAGTATAAATGAGGGACCAGGCAGTGCTTCAGGCAACACAGTGAGAATAGTTCTGCTAATCTCTCAAGCTATTATTTGGCATTCCCTAGCTGCCTGGACACAGGTATTTAATTTGGAATGATTTGATTTTAAGTTACAAATAAGACAAAAATACTCAATAAATATAACCAAAATGCACATCTAGGAGACAGCATTGTTGTTCCCCATGGGATATTGCCCACCTCACTTGCAGCTGGGTTTTTAAGCTTCTCTGTTAATGCAGCTGGTAACACAAGATTTTATTCCTGCAGATCACATCAATTATTTTTTTTGTAAATCGGCAGAGATGCCTTAGTCGCAGCATATATTCTTCACGTGGCCTTTGTGTCATCCAGATAAATTGATCAATGTCATGTGTTACCTCAGCTTGAAAGATTTACTCAACACCTCCTTGCCCAAAGGACTAAGCCTAGTGGCCAGAGAGAAAAATATCTGGGTTGCCATGCCCCCCTCCCACCAAAATCATTCATCATTCAGTTTGCATCAGCACCTCACCCTGTTAAACTAATGCTGCTGCTCCTCACAGCAAGTCAGCGTTGGTTCTCTATTCCCTTCCCCGCTATCCCTGAGGTGGGAAGAGCCTTGTGATGACCCCCTGAGCAGCTCCTCTCCTCTCAGCAGAAGAGAAGATTTGTTTCTGTTACAAACTTTTTAGGAGGATGAGGAAGGTTGGGGCAGTTCTTGCTTTCATCTTCTTCCTTAGCTGAGGAAGATACTAATAGATCCAGGCTATTCCAAATATGAGTGGCTGCTTTTCCAAAGAGTTTTTTCTTTACAGAGAGCTGCTTCTGGTATCCAACCTATTTTGTGTGGCTGGCTGGAGCTGTTTCCATTGCATTCTAAAACTCTTGAGTTTACTTCTTTATTCATGGATTGGTTGCAGAGGGGTAGAAGTGGATAGGATTCTTTCCAGTACTTTAGCTCACAGGCATTTTAGAGTCATTTGGCTCCAAACACCTTCAGCTGCCACATCAAGACTTTATGCTTTGGGTTCATTATAAATAAAACCATGTGCTTCACCACTAGTAAAGTGGCAAGTGCAAAGTTGCATGCAGGAAGGAAAGAAATTCTCCATAGTCTTAACACAGGACTTCTGGCTTTAAATATGTATGTTGTGCCAAAAGATTTATGGTAAGTTCCTTGAGACTGTGGCTGCAATTTGGGACTTTGAAGGGCTGGTAGGGGAACTGGTGAGAGAGATTCTTTCTTCTGTTGTTCCATAATAAGGTTTTTGAATACTATCACCTTCATAAATTTTCTGTTTTAGCTGCTGAATTTCCTGATCCAGCCTACAAAGAGATCTTAAAATATAATTCAAATTGTATGTTCTAACAAAAGTCTTTACT